ATTGCGTCAAGCCATTTAAGCTCAGTGCTCTAAGGGCATGTACGATATCAGGAACTCAGTCCTCTTCACAGCAGACCCAGGTTCCACTCCAGCCCTCAGCCCCTTGGTGTGTCTTCCCCCCTCTCCTTCCTCACATTTCAGACTAAACACTGTCCTTCATGTTTTTCATTGAGTGGTTTATATGGAAGCCCTAAGCAGACATGCATCCATGCATTTTATTTACTGCGTCTTCCTGCGATATGGATCTTGTTTTCTCGTAACCCCAAAGATACAGGAGCTCCAATCAAACATAGGAGGCTTAACTTCCCTCTCTAGTAGTAATGAGACAGTATGTTGTGTTGCTAGCCCATCGCAGTGACCAGTTATATGTTTCAATTTGTCAATTACCAGAATATTATCCCGTTAGCTCAAGAAACCAGCTTTGTTATCTGGAGACAACAAGGAAAATAGGTCGAGAAAACAGCTGAAATCACTCGTATCACAGTAAATCAAATGTATGGATGCATGTCCGCTTGGGGCTCCATAGCTTTATTTAAGGTTATCTGTGCTAGGATGTCTGACAGTAAAACTCTGGAACAACGGCTGTAAAACATGAAAGGCAGCAAACAGGAAGTGACAGCTTCTGACACATATGTGATGTCAAATAAAATAACTTTTATTTGTGGCTTGTTGAGAATAGTTTAAGTCTGACCTGCAGCACTTATATCCGATCACAGAGGACACTTTTTGATACCAGATCTAACAGGGTCTTTAGACTTTATAGTCCCCGAGGGGAAATTCTTTTTCACAGCACCGTTACTGTCCAAACAGACGAGTCCACCAAAGAACATTTATCCACAAAAAACAGAGACTAACACAAACAAACAGAGTTAGACAACAGTCAAGAGTTCCCATTTCTGGCCTGTTCAGCGAGGCCTTTTGTTCAGGACCGTTATTACAGCGGGGATCAGGCTCCTCCCGAGGCGAGCCTTTCTGCACCTTAGTGCTCTGTACCTCCGTCCTGAGGGAAGTGGGGCGAGGTGAGTGTTCAGTGGGTGTGTGAGGTTGCAATGCATGGGATGGCCCTGTTGTTGAGTTGAGGTTGGGTGTGGGGAGACCGATTATTCTAGCAGCTGTGGTTGTGATGCGTGTGAGTTTGGCCTTGTTTTTTACAGATAACATGTTGAAGAAGCGGGTGGAGCAGTACAGTAAGATGGGCTGGATCATGCTCTGATGGAGCAGCAGGAGGAGATGGGGGCAACATAGAGTCCTTTGAGTTTGCGTATGGCTGACAGTCTTTGATGGCTCTTTTTCTGGATGTCACTGGTGTGCTGTTCAAAACTGAGTAGGTTGTCTAATGTTACTCCGAGATATTTAAAACTGTTCACTATTTCCACTGCTTGAGTGTTGATGAGAAGAGGGTGCTGAGATGAGGGGGGACTAATTATTAATTCTTTTGTCTTAGGGACATTGAGATGGAGATGGTTATTGTCACACCACTGAGTGAAGTTTGTGATAGAGTTGTGGTAGTCCTGGACAGAGTTGTTGTCGGTGTGCATGGCAATGATGGCTGTGTCGTCTGAGTATTTGAGGTATGTGGTGGTGGGTGACGGGCTGGTGCAGTCGTTGGTGTAGTGTGTACAGGAATGGGCTTAGTACACATCCTTGTGGTGCTCCGGTGTTGGTGGGTAGTGCAGGTGATGAGGTTGTGCCCACTCGCACAGCTTGCAGCCTGTCACTGAGGAAGTTGTGAATGAGGTGGATCAGGCGAGAGGGGGTGTTGAGCTGGTGTAGTTTCTTGATCATCAGATGCCTTTGAATGGTGTTGAAAGCACTGCTGAAGTCCACGAAGAGGACTCTGATGAAGTGACCTGGGGAGTCTAGGTGCTGAAGGAGGAGGTGCAGCAGGCAGGCCACAGCGTCCTCTGTTCCCCTCTTTGCCTTGTATGCAAACTGGAGGGTCTGTTTTTGTGATGATGGCGGATTTTTAAACTGCGATATGATTCTGGTAAAAATCTGCGTGTCAATGTTGGTAAAAATTAAATATGTCAACCTAATATATTTAAAAATAGAATACAAACAAGTAGTGTCTTTGTTTTACCCTGAACAAAGACTTATTAGTAGAAAAAAAGACATCCCAGAGAAACACTTCACAGTCATAAAGTTCTCAGTTTGGTGAGAATAATGACAACAAACACACACATGTAGTTGGCCAGGAATAAGTTTTATATAAAATTTGAACCGTGGATACAGAGGCGATATTATGTGTATAAAAAAATACATACAATAAAAGGAAAATAAATGAATCTTATCTTTTCTATTTGGAGCAGATGTTCAAGTTAGCTGATGAAATGTAAAAGGCACTAAATGTACAACATTCCAGTTTTAGAGACATGAAACAGAGGCCAAGGTCATTCTGAGATGAACCCAAATAAAAACAAAAAATCACAGGGAATTTGTTGTCTTTGATATGCAAGACATAGTGCAGATTTTACAACATAACATACCAAACAATTCTCATAAACACACGACTATTTACCATCGAAAAACACTAAGCACGCACTTTAAGACTCGCCGTGAGCCGAGTGAACGTTCACTCGACACTTTTAAGACATCGAACGCTGCGTGTGAGCTCGCTCAAACTGTAAATCTTTCATAATTTATAGTTTACATCACAATTTCTACAACAGCACTAAACACTGCGACAAGTCACGATCAGAGCAAAGCGACCAGCAGTAAGGTTTTGGCAGTATCATACAGGTTTGATTTGGTGACTATGTGGAGGTACATGCAAACTAAGAGAACAAACAACAGAGGAGAAGAGAAAAGATGAAATATGTCGAGTACAGCGCCTGCGTTGTGTTGTCACAGCCAGAGGTCTCTGATGATGGCCTGAATATCACATACGAGGAGTTTATAGACACATGAGGAATGATTGGAGGAGGGCTGGGCGTAATATTCAGTTTTTAATGTCGATATATTTTCAAACGAGGTGTAGTGTAAGACGATATTGTTTAAATGTCTGTTTTGTTTTAACCACTCGTTGTGTTTTCTGGTGTGTAACAAGCTTCAGAGCCTTTGTGGGGACAGACTAGGGCCGTACTTTTCAAAATAAAACCACTTTGAACGATTTTAAGTATATGACACAGTAATGTTCAAACATATTCGCCCTCTGCTGGATCAGACTGCAAACTACTTCAGATGGTCTACTTGGGCTGTCAAGTCTTATTCTAAATTCAGACTTTAATGATCCTAATGGATGTGTTGTACAAATGTTACAAAGTTTAAAGTGACACAGCTGGTACTAGTTCCCTCTAGCAGAAGTTTAAACAAAAAATAACTTGGAACATAACGTAATATCCTTCACCTTGGGAGTGTTTAAAGTGGCTGTCTTGGCTATTTGTTTTGAAAACAAATGACAGTGAAAACAGATGGTTAACTCTCGCCTCTTTGAAAATGTTTTTTTCAGCATAAAGAGAACATTGTTTTTTTAACCTAGACGAGCTCGGGAACATTGTGGAGCATTTAGCAGATAAATGGCCAAACACAACTTTGAGGACAGGCCAGGATCACGACCTTTAAGATGTCTGAATGTGCAGCATTTTCTCTGCATGTGTTTGACTTTGCATCGCTTCATGTTTTGTTTACATTTGTTTTTTTATTTGCATCGTCGTCAGACTTTGCAGCCGCTCTCTTACCCATCTCCTGCAGTGCGATTGCACTTGTTGGACTGGGGAGTGAACTAAAATGTATCAGGTAAATATAAGCATGATTCCAAACACATTTAAAGATTTGATTATCTCTTATTCACCATTTAAACTTAAAATGTCAAAGTCATGTACACAGCTTGGTCACCGTAGTCAAATTTATTTTGTGTATTTGAGAATAAATGGCCAACGAAGCTGATTCTGGTCTGCTGCCCCCCAAGTGGATAAATAAATTATTTATGCAAGTTTCACATCATGGTCATGGTAGCTGTAGCCACTTAAGTAATGAATCTTCAGAATAAATTTGATTTTGCGTACATAATTAACCAAAACAAAGTTGAATTCAAGCCATCTGAGAGGACCGGCTCAACACCACCTGCAGGCGCTGCACACTGTACGCTTAAGCGTGACGCGAGAAAGAATTCAGACTGAAAAAAGAGAAAAACATAAAGAAAAAACACCAACTCTCTCTCTCTAGACCTCTACAGCAAACTTCTCTCCTTCTGGGGAAAGACAACCACATCCGCACCACACTGGAATGAGTTACAGTAAACAGCACTATATCTTACACGAGCAGGAAATATATACAAATACTGGTCAACGTGGAGATTTACTGCATTGTGAATCACGGGCTGAAGCTGAACTTTTTTTAAGACATTTTTTTTTCAACACAGACATCATTCTCATAGGTTAGCGAGCCATCGACAAACAGAACCGTAACATACATTTGACTTTTAAATGCTTGGAGACAACAGAAATGACGGATTTGGAATGCATTTTAAAGCTTCTGAAAAGAACTCAAATATATTTGGCCCATTAGTTTAAGAAAAAAAAAAAAGAGTTTTACATGATACATAGATGGAAGAAAGGATGGATATGTTTGTAATAATGATTGTTATGTTAGTAAATTCCATGCAAACAGTGTATTTAGCATTTGTTCCATCCAACAACAAATGTCAGCTCCCAGTTTTCGTAGATGATTTCACCTCAGTTGCACATTTTGTTTGCTCATGCATATTTCAGAAGAACTCAAAACTTAAACAACTGCCCGGGTAGTACCCACAAGCAGGATGTGTGTTTTATTTTTACACCTCACAAACAGGCAGGTTAACGTCTTGCACTTTGCAGAACAGAAAGATGCACAGAGGCTGCATTGCTCTTTTTGTGTTTATGCACTTCTTTTTTAAAATGAAAATGGCAATTCAGAGTAAAGAAAGTTTAAAGATGGCGTTCCACTGAGGTGAAAATCAAACGGGAGTTGGTTTTTCTTTATAAAAAGGTACCACGACAACATGCCAGGAGTCTACAGAAAACTGAAGCATTCACAGTAAATACGATGTCAGTCTAGTTGAGGAGTACCAACTGTAGTTTGTAGATGTCATCATAGCTGCATGCAAAGTTACTGAAGGCGATGTAAAATCTAACTACACGCCCCGACAAAACAAGATCACTGTGGAAGCGCCCGACAGCGAGATGAACCGAGGCTCCAGCAGGCTGCTGCACCGGTGAGGTGTAAATTCAAGCATAGCTTAGAAGGAATGTCGTTTAAGATGTGAAATTTATTACAACAAAGAGTTAGGATAAGTTAAACTTAAACGTTCACTCTGTTCAGGTTAATTAAACACAGAACAGACGCTGCTTTGTTAAATGTTTGAAACTCAGGATTCAGAGAGAAACTTAAATGAAAGAATCACAGACATTCAGGTTATTGACCCGTCTGTCAATCAGCCATAAGCACTTTTCAGACCGATGTTTCAAGCCGTGATGTTTATGTGTAATGGGGGGGGGCAAAGTAATCCCCCCCTCTGTAGTGTCTTTGGTGGTAGTAACAGAGGCGAGACTGTTTAAGCTGAACCAGCAGGGGAGCGCAGCGCTGTGTGCGTGCTTCCACAAAGCTGAAACTCAATGTTAGCTGGTTTGCATGCTGGCGATAAAATATCTCATTCGGTCCATAGACTGAGTAGAAGAAGTGAACGTAGCCATCGTGACATCACTGTTGGTTAGAGGACTAACGATAAGTTCATTATTTTTAAAGTCGTCCGTTTTGGTTTGTGAAGCAATACGTTATTAAATCTGGATAAGGGGTTAGCAGACGCTCATTCATAAAGCTAATGCTAGCTCTAGCTTTGTTAGCACCAATTATCCATACTTCAGTAACTTTGACATCGATTAGGATGCACAAAAAACAAGCATCAAACACAAAAGTCAACAACTCTGAGTGACTTTAAGACCACAGGAGCAGTGACTTGTACATCAAAAGGTAGCCAAACCCTAAAGAACATTTAACTGGATCGTTTATTTTTCTCTAAACGGGAGAATAACCGACGAAATGACAGACGACTTGAAAGTAGTGATTAAAAAAATAGACTTATCAGGAAAATGATTCGAGTAAAAAATCAAACAAGACAAAGTCATTTTCTTGTCGACATCTAATATGACTTATTTTGCAACCAGTGGAGTCGCCCCCTGCTGCCTGATTGAGAAAACGCAGGTTTAAGGCACGTCTTTTATTGGCTTTTTTTTCTGTGATGGCTGTATTTCAACTTGTCAGACCCAGAGACTACGTCCACTTCTTATACTCAGTTTAGTTTCCCATCGCTATTTAGAGACGTCTTAAGTAGTGTTGAAACAAAGTTTAGTGTCCTACAAAGTTAAACATGAAGCAGAAAATAGTTGAATCATTTAGAGCCGGTGCAACAGCCGTGTGAAGTTCTTTCAGGCACAAAATAAAAAAAGTTTAAAGAAGTATTTTAACATGTGGAATGATTTCTATGAAGGCATTTTTTTTATTTGCTTGTCAGAGAAAGATTTCAAGGCTGATGTGATGGAGTACTGTACAGTCCACTGGAGTGTTTCTTTGCTCTTTTTTTTAGTCGTAACAATAAAGCACATGGAGACGTCACTTTTTTTTTTCATATAACAGTAACATGCTTTCAGAGGACAAAAGAATTTCAAAATAAGATGGAGACTGCACCGATTTTCTGTCCCTGTTGAGATATGCCCACCCCTTCCCAAGAGCAGCTGATAGAGAGGTCTGATACTTTACTGTGGTTTTGTATATTTTTCTTTTTGGTCCCCGGTCCCTCTTCAGTTTTTACGGATGTCAGCGTAGACCACAGGCTCCATCTTATGGAACGAGTTTTTGCTGCCTGAGTGATCCAACTGGGCGTATATCACCGGGCCCTGAAATGTAAACCAGAAAAGGCAGAAAATGAGTCAGAACAAGACAAAAGAAGAGTATCCAGATTAAATGAACAAAAGAAGCAAAAAAGAACTTTGTCTTCTGCAGTAATTTTCAACATATTTTTTATTTCAAATCATAATCTTTGCTTGAGTGTTGAACAATCATCGAGAGCATAAAAAGAGTTTTTTTTTTTTTTCATTTGAATCCCTGAATGATAGATTTTCTTGATTTTAAATTAAATTGCTTTCATCAAAAGGTTAACTCCGGTTGGCAAATGAACGGCACAATTGACAAGGCCAAACTCGCTTTCAAAGTCGTCGAGCAATAAAAGTTTTTCTCATCTGTTCTTCTTAATATCTCGTTAACAAAGCTGAACATGTCCACGTCAGAACTCAGTTTGTTTAGAGTTAGTGATGAGGACTAGATTAATAAATTAGTAAATCTTTTTTTTTTTTACCTTTCATTCAAACTGAATTTTATTTTCAATGCAAAAAAACCAAACTGATGCTGTAATGACTTTATTGCCTCCGAGTTTTCATGCCCCCCCCCCCCCCCCCCCCATACGGAGACTATATTCCTCATTGCAGCGCCCATGGGTTTGAATCTGACCCTTTGCTGCACGTCACCCCCCCCAATCTCTACTCTCGACATTTCCTGTGTCTTAAACTGTCGTGTCTAATAAAGGCAAAAGGCCCAAAAATATAACTTACAAAAAAAAGGCTATATATGAAAAAGTAAGTAGGGTTATTTCTTTTTGTTTGTTGATTCTTGACCAAGAAACCTGCAGAAAAGCTGAAGGCTTTGATTTAGTCATCACTGTTAAAGTACAAGAAGTAGTACATTCTCTCTTTCATCATATATTTCTTTAAGACAACCCAAATATCCAGAAAGAGAAAAGAGGTAACGTTTTCAGTTCTGTTCCATTTTACATATTAGACATGAGAAGAAACTTTACAATTTATAATGCTAAGCTAAGCTAATCAGCTGCTGTCGAAGGCCTCACATATTGAATATGAACGTGATACTTTAACATCTAACTCTGCTGCAATAGAGCCAATCAAATAAGCACGTTGAAGCCTGGAACTCTCATTCGATAACGAGTTTTGGTTGGTTTACTTTATGTCGTTTTGATGACTCACTGCATTCAGGGTCCTACGTGTGCATGTGCTGCTGCTGATCTCGGCCAGGTCACTCTTTATAAAGAGATTTTTTATCTGAACCGGTTTCTCTCCTGGTTAAATCAAAAAGAAATATCATCGTGATCATTTATTTTGAGAAGTTCACATGGAGTGTAAATAAACTGTCCCAGTGTTGTTGTTGGACTTGTGTGGACGTGAGTTGATGTGCTTTCCTTCCAGACCAGTTTTTAAAAAAACAAATATAATGTCACACTGTCCCTGAGAAAAGGTAGCAGCCGATGGATTCTTTCTGTCCCCCAGCTCCTACCTGTAGTGGACCCGAGGGACTGGTACACCTGGAGCCCTCCAGGCTGGACTCCACCTTCTTTCGTTGCTGCGGAGCCTGAGAGCTCACGCTTTCCAAGGACGTGCATCTATTTTAGGGTTACCATTTTGCCACGGTGGGGAGCAACCATTGGTGCACAGTCAAATGGAGACAGACAACGAATAATGGACAAGACAAAAAAATTAAACAATGAGAGATGAGCACATGAAACACAAATGCAAACAAAGGGCATGAAGGCTCCCAGTGGTTTGCAGAGATACTAAAGCAGGGAGAGCTACTGGGAGGAGACCAGAGGTGCACTGAAGGGATTTTAAGAGATAACAGATCAGAGCTGGTGCAGCTTCAGAGTTCTGTTTCTGCTAAATAACAAAGTAATATAAACGGGCTCTAAGTTCAGATGGTATGGAGGAAGGAAAACAATGATATGGTCTCAAAAGATGTCACCTATGATGAGAATAGCGTTACTTATTTACCTTTAACTCCCTGACTATCTGCAGTAAATAGAAGTGTCTAGTTACTTTTAAGGCAGTCACAGTTTTACAGCACTAACTCTTGTTTTTTGTTGATGTGATGGACTAGCATCATTTTAAAGCAGTTTTATAACTTTCACATCTTACTTGTATTTATTGCCTCACATTTTATATGAAACTTATTACCTTAAAATGACCACAGAAGTGAAATTATTATCAGAAAACGACTCAAAATCTGGAGCTGCAACAAGTAGTTTGTGGTTGTTTTATTTTATGAGGCTGAATGCTGTAGATTTAATTACACTGTACATTTAAAGGGACCTATGCGGGATAATACATGAAAATTAGCAAGAGCCATCAACTGTTCGGTTTCATGCTTTGTATTACAACTATTTTGAAAAGCATCATCGACGATTTTAAATAGCGTCATGTTGTGCACAGTGTGTGATGTAAGCGCTGCTCTCACGGTTATGACGGCACATGCTTCAGTATTTTATTCTGGTTTACAGGACGAAGCTAACCTTCTGATAAAGAGTGTCTTATACACTGAACGGTGGTTCAGAGACAAATTTAATCCACATTTAGTTAAACAAAAGTATTTAATCAAACTGACAGTCAGCGTATAACAAATATCTGCAGACTTTACACCAGAAATGGACTGAGCTTAATCACAATATATTTTCTGGTTGTTGGTCGAACTGAAAAAGACTTGACCATGTGAACGATGGCGTTATTGGTGTCTCTATTTTATGAAGATTTATGTTTATAGGTAGGAAAAGGAATCAATTCAATGTTTTAAAATGTATTGTTCGTCACTGCCTTATTGTTGATTTGTACTTTGGTAAATGCGTATTGTGAAGATAAAAACATATCAACAGGTCATCAGTGCACCTCTAGTAAAGACATTTTATTACAGGTAAGAGTAAGAGAGGCATTAAACCTGTGATTTATAATGAGACTTTAAATATGAAGGTGATCGTACATTATAAACATTACACGTAAACGTGTCATAGAAAACTGCTGATGAGGGAGACAGTGGTTAGTTTTGATTGTTAGAGACAAAAGATGAAGAACAATGACTGGACAACATGCTGACGACAAGCCAATCAGAGACGTTAATAGAAAGAGTTGTGAAATTAGTCGAGTTAACAAACAGTGATGGAGAAGAGTGACTGGCACCGGTGCAAACAGAAACCCCAAAGACCGCTGACACTCAAACCATCCAACAGCCCAACATCTGTCAACATCTGTCAACATCTGTCATCTCCACGGGTCAGTACGAGGTTATCTCACTGAGTTCAGAGGTACAGAGAAGGCAGCGTGGCCGTAGCATGCGAGGCCGACAAACTACCTCCCACATTCAAAGTCAGACTATGTCTACTTTCGGATGATTTCTTGAACAAATATATTAATAATTAGTAACAAAATCAGCCCGTCACGTCCACACAGATAAACACAGAGAGAGTAAACCCGGCTCCCATGCACAGAGAAAGGGTTAGCGAGGTGTTACAGTCGGATGATTCAATCTCCCAAGGAGTAAAAATGTTACTGGAAATAAAAACACAAAGATCATCACATGATGCATAAAATCCACCTCTGACACTCACCGTGCAAACACCTTTATCTTATCAGGATCAAATATAGTTTGGTGTGTGTGTGTGTGTGTGTGTGTGTGTGTGTGTGTGTGTGTGTGTGTGTGTGTGTGTGTGTGTGTGTGTGTGTGTGTGTGTGTGTGTGTGTGTGTGTGTGTGTGTGTGTCAGACATATCGAGTGTTACCTAGCTTTATCTCTTTGACTCCTGTATACAGACCTCTGCTTCCTTCTTTTTTTGTATTTTACAGACTTTTTGTTTCCAATTTAATGTGATCTAGTAATTAAAGCAGGGGTCTGCTTTTATTATAATGTTTTTACATCAAGACAATAAACAATTATTAAAATGCTCCGACTAAAGAAGACATGATCTGTGATCTGTGGCTTCTGCAGGTATGAAGAGGAAGTCAAGAGTGGCCTGAAAACAAAAGCTTGAATGCTCGTAGCGCATGAGTGGTCGAGAAAGACAGACTGATAAAGTATTGAGCAATAATCATAACTTCTGTTCATGAAGGACTTTTGTTTGTAAGGCCTCGTGTCCACCTAGCATTTTTTCGAGCAGAAAAGTGCTGGCTGTGCACTCAGGAGCACTTATATGAAGTGTTTGTGCGCTGAGAAGAAAAGTGCTGCACGCCCGTCCTGTCTCTATGACAGGCCGCTGTATGATCAACACTGCTCCGTTACTTTTTACACAATTTTTTTTAAATTTTAGATCGTTTATTTCTCGATCAGACATGGAGCAAAGAGGATGTGGGTACAAGACACGATCTGTAGGCGGTAAACTACAGGGAGTATCGGGTTATATGTCTGTTGAGTATCGTGCACTTTGGGTTATTTTCTGTTGAATTGTATTTAATAATTTTTAGTATTTTACATTTCTTATGTTCTTGCTGTTGTTTATGTTCTTCTGTGTTTGGTTTAGTTTGTTCTTGTTGTTTGTTAAAGCACTTTGTAAACCTGTCTTTTTAAAAAGGTGCTATATAAATAAAGTTATTATTATTATACATTTGGAAAAGACTCAGAGGGGCTCAATAAAAAGGCGGAGCTGCGCTTTTTCTCCAGGCGGCCGCTTTATGCTGCGAACGCTCTCTCCTCATTTAAAACAGACACTGGAGCTCAGAACGCTAGGTGGTGTTGTGAAAGTCTCTAATTTAATATATGTTGAAACAGGAAGGACAGTGAACTCACCCTTCATATTCATGACGGCTGTGAAGCACCCTCATCACGATACAAGCAGCTACAGCGACGAGGACGAGCAGAAATAAAGCACCACAAACTGCTCCGACTATAATGGCTGTGTTGCTGGCAGGAAGAGATTCTGCAAAGATTTAAAAAGAAAACAGAAACAACACACAAAGTTTAGTTTTAAAATATCATGTATGAATTTTTCTAATCTTTTTATAACCATCTGGTGACCATCATTAAATTAGCTTTTAACCATCTTTATGAACATTTATTTCAGCCTTTGTAAATTATGTTTTACATACATACTGATGTGGTTTACAGATAAATAGAATTAGTGACAGATCCCAGCACATTCAGTGGTTGTTCTCAGCCTGTCTCAACATGTTGTTGTGTAACTTTAGAAGAACGTGGTTATGAAGTTTGATGTCACAGTCCGGACTCACTGATCCCTCTCCATCAAGCTTTGACAAAAAGACTGTGTGTTGAGGAAATATACTTCAGCAAGATCTAAAATACTTCAGCCAGAGTTGAAACAACCTGTCATGGTAAATTCTTGTATCCTGGTACTGCACTAGTGCCTACATAGAATGAGAAAAACGGTCCACTGTGAGGGTGGGGCAAATTCTACAGAGCCAAAAGATAACAAGCCGTCACATGCACATGTGGGCTTCAAGGATCTGAAAACAAAAACAAGAAAGCAGCTGCTAGATCACCTTTTACAGGTCAGATATTCAGACCTCACAGAGCCAGGACACTGAGGGACTATTTGATGAACTTAACCTCGTTTAAACTGGGATCATGGGGAATTTCAGTGTGTGCACGTGTAGGTGTGACCTGCGGTGTAAAAGCTCTTTGAGTAGTCAGAAGACTAGAAAAATGTATACAACCTCAAATCCATTTACCATTTACACTGAAGATGAAAATAAATCCATTATTAACAGAAGAACAGCGTCATGCTTCCTTAAAGGTGTGACTGACAGCACATGTATTACAGACACTAAAGCCGATGATTCTGATTCCGATGACGTGCATCAGAATCTCGCAGTCTGTGAGAATGTTTTCTACGACGGGCAGGAACAGGAGGACAAGAGGAAACATAGAAGTGCTGATCAGACAAATCTTTGCAACCGGTTTGACGGCATCTCATGGGAACAAGCACGCCAGCGACACCACGGTAACCAAACTAAACAACTGCTTTTACTGTCCTGATGAATGAATAATCATCATGCCATGTGTGTGCAGTTCACAGCATGGCATTAACTCTCCCAGCCCAAAATAAAAGACTGTTGATATGAAATAACCGACCTTTTTCCTGAGATACGTCTGCACTTGTGCTTTCTTTCTTTGCTCATCATTTGATATTCCACTGTAGGAGAAAGTTGGTTTCATTTTAAGTACTTAATGATCTGGGTTTAAACTGAGATGTAAAGAGGGTTTATATGTTATCCTGTGTACTTTAGGTATAGAGGTTGTTGCAGCAGGTACTTAAGGTAAACAATTCTTTAATCCAGGTTTTAATTTGTTGTAGGCGATGCCTCCCACTAGCTGTGTCCAGAGCAGCTGGTCAAATGTATGTGATCATAGGTAACCAAACTTTAAATCCTGAGAGTAAGAAACCTCCATGAGTGGGTTTAAACATCTTCTTGCCTGGAGACGAGGCAGATTCATACTGCAAGCTAAGACTGCAGCATTTTCCCACACCGTTTAATCTGTGTGTGTGTGTGTGTGTGTGTGTGTGTGTGTGTGTGTGTGTGTGTGTGTGTGTGTGTGTGTGTGTGTGTGTGTGTGTGTGTAGAGTCAGTGTGTGGGTGAACACAACTCACAAGTGTCTGGCCAAGGTCGGAGTTACATATTCAAGAGGCTCTTGTGTAATCCGAGAATCTCTGCCTGAGGCTCTGACTGACTTTTCACAGGAACACCTTAACAATAAAAAACATTTGAATGGTCATTTTAATCACCTTTCAGGACGACCCTGAGCTCCATTCGAGCAGGTGTTCCCATCACGTCAGGTGGGTTCTTCACGTCGCAGAAGAAGGTGCCGTTGTCGCTGAACTGAGCCGGACTCAGCTGTATCGAGACGTCCCTCTTATTTATGTCTCCGATAAACTGCACCCTGTCTTTGAACTCTGCTAGACCTGGGTATTCTTTACCATTTGACAAGTAGAAAATCTACAAAAAAAGAGGAGGAAAATCAGGTTAAAATTATAAAACAGAGACCGAAACCAAAGCAGAGTTCAATCACTGTGGCAATTCAATCGTTCAATCGCCATTTGGCCAATAAATATTTGAATCGGCTGAATCAATAAGCAAGGTTTCAGAAAAGAAAAGAAAATATTTGAGTGTAAAAAGCTTATGACTTCTCTGCTGAACCAATGGGGTATTGGTTCAGCAGAGAAGTCATGAGCCATCATTGGAAGCCACCATAATGAAAATCCCACCTATACCTTCATTTGATCAAGCTGTAAGTCACATTTAGGAGTTTTCCACAAGCAACAACGGTGCTGCTTTAAAACAAAAACTGCACACTACTTTCCAGATTTCAGAAACCAGCTGTGCAAAAGTTACCTCACAGTTCCTGAAAACAGCCTCAGAGAGAGAGACAGATTATCAACATGAAACGACTTCAGTCAGGGCTTTCACTGACTTTAATCACACGGTCTGTTCATTTTTGAGAGATGCAGCAGGACTCTGCAGATAACTCTGCTCCGGGTACAAACCTAGTTCAGGATGAACACTGGAGGAATCCTGACCTAGAAACAAGATAAACACATCAAGATGAGCAGCAGCTTTTAGCCCCTCCTGATGTACTGGGTCTCTGTGGGCGACCTGTTTTTTTTTTTTACATAAACCTGCTTTATGCAGTGTTTTTTAGCAGCCTTCATTTCCAGGTAGTGGCCTTGGGTTGTTAAAGTTTATGGACTGTCATGCGGTGGCTGCTGCATTGCTGATTCTCATTTTAGTTAAAAACAGGTTCTAGTAAAAGATCATCTGTATTTTTAATAGCAGACATTTTGAATTGTCACCAGCTTTACTGAAAGAACGATATAGATATCTGCCCAAAAAATCCCATATCGGTCTGGCCTTAACATAAAAAGCCCCAAAATAAATCTTAAAAATGTCTTTTTAAATGTAAAATTTGACTCAGCTCACGAGTAAATGAATGACATATTGTTCATTACTTTGTAACCAATGCATTCAAATCTTTTTAGAGAGCACATTTCAAAAGAACAAAAGTTGACAACATAAACACAATAAAATAAATAAAATAAAAACCACAGGACACTACAATAACAAAAAGTGTTGTTTAGAGTGTGCACAAAGAATACCAGATCCCTGAAACTGAAGCATTGTGTTTGTTACACCTGTTTGTCTAAATAGCTTCAAACGCCAAACTGATAGCAGAGCGTTCAACCCTTTATGAGCAACACTGAATCATCAAGGCCAGTTGGAACTCATCTTTTCCTCAAACGTTTGACGCCTTATTCCCACAAGTCCTGTTCACATTGACAATAACCAGAACATCAGTCATTGTGGGACAACAGAAGAGTGTGTAATCAAGACAATTCAGCGAGGATACGACCATAAAACGAGCGTGAATCATTCTCTCTAAGGATCAGGATTTCTTCTGTCTTTTTTAAACACTTCTTTCACACGCCTGCCATCACTGAGGGCGCCATGGTTAAAAATAACAACGTTTGCTTGAAGTCTCCTCAGCACTAATCTGGCTCTGGCTCACACACGGGGGACATGCGCCAGAGTTTTTTTTTTTCTGTGTGTGGAATCATGGCTGTGTCACATTTAGCAGTGTCAGCTTTGTAAACGGAGCTTTTAAAGGAAGGACAAGTTGTGTTATGATAGGTTGCTTCCTGCAGTCCGAGGATAACCTTTCTTATCTTATTCACGTTACAGTGACAGGAATGATACAAAGAGTGAAACTGATTATTCAGGATATTTTGAGCGGTTTTCACACATGCACTTCTGTTATTTCCTAGAACACTTCTGCACAGCTTGCCCCTAAAATCTGCCTGAGTTCCTCTTTCACACACAAGACCCTCAGAGGGTGACGTTTTGACTGTCGGAGGGGAGGGGTCTCAGGAGGAGCGACGTGACATAAAAACGACGACTCTAATCCAAGATGGCAGATGAAGCAACAGATTCTGACCCCATGATGACAGCCTTTACCGTTATGTCAATGCTACATATAACTGGATGCATTGACAGTATCAAACGAGTCTTGACAAATATGTCATGGACAAGGTTCTGACTGTATATTCTCCGTTACATACTGGCATACCTTTCTGTGTTCTAACCTCTCTCCATTTTTCAAAAGCATCTCCAATATTGATCCTAGTTTGAGCACGTTTCTGCTCGTGGAGCTTATTAGAAACATGCAGAGGCTTTTTAGGTCGGGTATAATCACTTCTATCTGAACCACTTCTCTTGCCCGCTTCCATCGCTGCAACACCTGTTGACCTGATAACTGCTCTCATATCTGGCAAACCGAGGGGCGTCCAAAACGGCTGTGTGTGTGTGTGTGTGTGGGGGGGGGGGGGGGGGGGGTCGCCCTAAAAGCGCCTACCTTCTCTGGTCCAAACAAATCCAGAGCATTCAGGAGCAGAATCTAAAGTTAGAAGGAGGACATACTGGCTGCTGCATTGTTGTCAGAGAAGCCAGCACTTCAACATAGCATGTTCCTGAATGTCTGATCAGATAGTAAGATACCTTTATCATTTCAATAAGAAGATAGCTTACTGATTTCTCCTTTGACATAATCACTTTATTCAGCCGACTATACAAGTTGAAACGAGGCTTTAATGTGGACAGACTTAAAATGTTGGTTGCATGTTTCTGCTCTGGCATGAATACTCTGCAATTTAAAAACCCTACGGCCATGTCGTTATGTTTACAGGATATCAGAGCAGACAGGTAGGCCCCCGCCCAGCCTGCAATGATGCGTACACAAAGAGGAGCGGGTGCTGTGGATGGGACATGATCTCTAATCCTGCACCACAAACTTCCTCTATTCAACACTCGTACTCTGCTCTATTTACATTTTTCTCTGATTAAAATACAAACGCAAAAATACGACTTTGGGAAGTTAGACATTAATCTTCCAAAGCACCTTCTCCTACTGACATCTTAAATATTGAACATGTCCTGCTGTCAGATTTAGTGTCAAAGAAAGAAAAACAGTGATGTGTGTAATTCATTAATTTCCTTGGCGCTGACTGAGACAGTTTTATCACTTTACAGTAAATCTCTACTGTCTGAAAATGACTTCTGTGGTATTCTTCTGCTTTGTGAATCAAATCCTTCGACTTGCTGTACAAACACGTCTTCAGCTCTATTTTTAAGCGCGTGTTGTATTTGGGCAACAAGAAGACGAAACACAGCGATACAAAAACAAACTGAGAGATTAAACTGTGACGCTCGAGCATGATAGAGACACAAGATACACAGACGATCAAATACAAACAGAGCTGAAAGTGACAAGAGAGTGAAGCAGGAGGACGTCTGGAAACTAAACTGAAAACAGGTGCTGATGTTGTTTTAGTAAACAAACGAGAAGATTTAAAGTAGGATGTTATTAAAAATGTGTTTGTTAACTAATGAAAATAAAAACGAGGCTTTACAATGAAGCTTTTACTACTACAAGTGTATTTGGTTTATAAACAAATAAAATACATAAATCTGTTTAGTTTTCATCTTTATATTTATTTTATCTTGATGTGTTTATTATCTTTCCATTAGTCTGATGTCATATTGAGTGCATCTTTGTTTTGACTTGCTGTGGCTGGCCATGTTGTTTTCTTTCTTTATGTTCACTTCTAAGTTTCATGATTCACTTTGGAAACTCTTGTTTTGAAAGGTCACACATTCTCCTCTTCTTCAACCAGTCTAAATAAGTCTCAGAGCTCCTCAAAACATGTGTGTGAAGTGTCTTGTTCTAAATCACTCTGATCCTGTATTTGATCAT